TTTCCTTCTTCCAGTGGATGCTTTGTGCCACTTTCATGACTTAACAGAACTAACTTTTCCCCTTGGATCATTGATGTAGTCCTTTTAGACAGTTCAGTATCAACATCTCTTCTGTGATTAAGTGCTTATTATTCTGGGGGAGGGCGCACTTTTCCCTTTCCATCATGCTCTCTTTTCAGCCCCTGCCCAACAAGGGCTGAAACTGAGCCACTATTGTTTTTAATACTTCATATCTTAGCTTGCTTGTCAGTACTATCAAATTAGTCTTTAGTTTTCAGTACAAGAAGTCAGTGTGAATAGACAGCCCATAATAAAAAATTTACCCCTTGCCCTAACCGGTTTGGCTCAGTGGATAGAGCGTCGGCCTGTGGACTGAAGGGTCCCAGGTTCGATTCCGGTCAAGGGCATGTATTGTGATTGCAGGCACATCCCCAGTAGGGTGTGTGCAGGAGGCAGCTGATCGATGTTTCTCTCTCATCGATGTTTCTGACTCTCTGTCCCTCTCCCTTCCCTCTGTAAAAAAATCAATAAAACATATTTTAAAATATATTTTTTAAAAATGTACCCCTTTCTTATTAAGAAAAAAATCAGGATTATAAAAGAAAATTTTGACATAAAACTTAATTACATTTAAGTTTCTCAATGTATGTCATTTCATTTAATTACATAAAACATAATTACATTTATGTTTCTCAGTTTGACTTTTTCCTATTTGTGGCAATTCAGTTTGGGTTTTTATTTAGCACTAGAGGCACGATGCATGAAATTCGTGCAAGGGGCTCGGCCCTCACAGCCCCAGCTTCGTCCAGATGGTCGTTCTGCCATTTGGTCTAATTAGCATATTAGCTGTTTATTATATAGGATTGTAGTGAAGGAAGAATGAATGTCACTATAGGAATTAAACAGCAACAAATCTAAAATTTATTGGTTATGATTGGGTCAGACTTATCTTTCTATACAAGTCTTAGACTCATACAAGTCAGAACAAGACAGAATGTAAAAATAATTATTTTTCCATCAGGAATTACAGTGGGGCCTTGACTTACGAGTGTCCCAACTAACGAGTTTTTTTGAGATATGAGCCGTCTCTCGGCTGATCTTTTGCTTTGAGTTGCAAGATCAAAAAAATTTGGGTTACGAGCCAGTTTCAGATACTCCCCCGCTAGTTGGCGCAGCAAACGTCACAGTGATTTGATATACGAGTAATTTGAGTTATGAGCTCCATCATGGAACAAATTAAACTCGTAAGTCAAGGCCCCACTGTAATGGTTATTTCCTTATAATAATGAGATGATATTTTATTTTTGAAATCACATGTGAACATGGATAGTGGAATTATTATTTCCCAGAAATGGATAAATGATGAATTCTTTCCATAATCTACTTTGGCTTTTATACTGAAATCAGGTTTAAATAAGAAATTTCTAAGTTAAATGCTTGGCTAAAATTAATTAGAATTGGAGATGACCTGCCCTAGGAATTCTTCTTAATAACAATCTTTATATCACTAGATTAAGTTTTTGATGTTAACTAGGTTCTGATTTTAGCTACTGTATAAATGTATTTTCTTCTAAATAAAAAAAAGTACAGATTAATAACCATCCAAGCTGAACTCCCAAAATACTTTCCAAAAGAGATGATGGGTTGACATTTGAGCAATGTTTTAAAGCAGGAGTGGGTAACATCTGGCCTGCAGGCCATATAAGGGCCACAAAATCATTTGGTCTGGCCCTGCCAAGGCAACTGCAGGTAGGACTCGAAATTCAATAAATCTGGGAGCTTTTTTCACAGCAACATAAATTTATATTAAGTCAATTATATTAAGAGAAGGATGTTATAAATATTCAAATGGCCCTTGGCAGAAAAAAGGTTCCCCACCCCTGTAGGAAGACAGATCAGTTCAACCCACCCTCTTGACCAAAACTTTGCTTTGGTGTAGATTGTACCTCTTTAGGGCAGTAACTTCTAATACCCATGGAAGGTGATATTAGCATTAGGATTAGGGAAGCTTGAAGGAAAAAAAGAAACATTTACAGAAAGAAATCAGTTTCCTCCCACCTCCTACCACTGCAAAGAAAATTCTGGTAGTGTAATTTTATTATGAGAATAGAAAAAATAATGATTATGAAGCTTAAAAGTAATTATTTATGAAAAGGAATATATATAATGCTAAACAGTCTTTCCTTCTCTCTTTGATAAATATAAAGATGGAATGTTTTATTATAAAGTTACAAAGTCTTTACATCTGAATAAAATTATTTCTTACCTAATGGTCCAGATGTTTTTGAACAATTGTAGAAAGTGGACCTGAAAGACCTGGAATAATTGTATGGTCAGGGAACTATACCACAGATAGTTCTTATTTTTCATAGTGATTTAAAATATACATACTGTTATTTACCTATTATGACTGATGCTGAAAGGGTACTCTGTCCCACTTCTAGTTTTTAAAACACTTTTGTTGAAGTATAATTTACATAGTATAAAATCCACCCATTGTAAGGGTAAAATTCCATGATTCTTAGTACATTTATAGAGTTGTGCAACCATCACCATAATCCAGTTTTAGAATATTTCCATCATCTCCCAAGATTCCTTTGTGCTCATTTACGGTATATCTTTGATTTTGGCCCTATACCTAGGAAATCACTAATCTATTTTCTATCTTTGTACATTTGCCTTTTCTGGACATAAATGGAATCATAAAATATGTAGTCTTTTTTGTCTGGTTTATTTTACTTAGCATAATATTTTTGAGGTTCATCCATATTGTAGCATATTTTCTGCTCCCAGGGAATTTTAGAATCAGTTTGTCAAGCAAATTTAAAAATAAGAAAAAAAAATTCCTGTCAACCAGGTGGAATGGCCTTTGCTCAACATGGCCTTTAATCCCCCTTACTAGTTTCTTGCTTAGGATTCCTCCATCTTTTAAAGCATTTTTTGAGGAATTATTTTATATTCAGAACATTTCTGAATGTAACAAAACCACATGGAAGTACAAAAAGTACTTTTTGTTGAATAAAAACCTTTAGTTTTCAGGATTGCATGAAGATATAGAAATGTAGGACCAGAAAAGCATAACTCACTAAGAAGACAGAAGGGAAACTAAATAAAGAACATTCTCATAGTTATAGTCAGTTGTGTTTAGTTTTGTCTTTTTGTTTTACTTCTCTTTTGCAAGTAAGTACTTTAATTTTCTGGCTATTATTATAAATGGTATAAACAATATTACTCTCCATTTCATTTTAACTGTAATGACATCTCATTAGACCAAAGTCATATCACTGACAACCTCTTATCTGGAACATGATGAGGAAGCAAGAAAAAAATACTTAAAGACAAAAGAACCAAATAATTATAACAAGACCATGTTCTAAAATGTATGCAACATATTCATAGGAAGCCCCGGCTTCCCGGTCCTCATTAAAACTAGGTACTTTTATTTTATACACAGTTCTAAAAAGGTTTGTTCTTTCACTGCCCCTAGACCAGTGGTCAGCAAACACATTAGTCAACAGAGCCAAATATCAACAGTACAACAATTGAAATTTCTTTTGAGAGCCAAATTTTTTAAACTTAAACTATATAGGTAGGTACATTGTTATTAACTTAATTAGGGTACTCCTAAGCTGGCCTTTGCTAAAAACGTCCTCAATCTGAGGGCTCGACCTCAGCAAACGTACCCCCACTTCTTCTAACGCCACTTCTTCAAAATAGACTCGCCCAGGCTGAAAACCAACTTCTGCACATGGGCCACAAAGTTTCAATCGCACTGTGTGCACCCGCACGTGGTATTTTGTGGAAGAGCCACACTCAAGGGGCCAAAGAGCCGCATGTGGCTCGAGAGCCGCGGTTTGCCGACCACTGCCCTAGACAATCAAAAGCAACAGATCATTGAGAGATCGAGAGGAAGAGACAGAGGAAGAAGGGAAGTCAGGAGAGATTGGTCCTTAGAGAAGGATTTATTGCTAAGAGTGAGAAATAACAGCGTGACAGAGGAGGAGACAGAAAATGGACACAGAGGCCTGGGACCATCCGGTGAGCTCTGACAGCACCACTGCATGACAGTGTGGGAGAGCTAATGATGACTCTCTGTCTCTATAAAAAGAAGTTTCCTTATGTTCAAACTACCTCCACTCCTTCCTGGAAGAGGAATAGGTTGGGCAAAAGTAGGTTTATAGCTATGAGTACACAAAACAGAGATTATTCTTCTATTATTATTTATTGTTATATTATTTTCCATACGAAAAACTGTAAACCTACTTTTGCCCCACCTTGTATATGACAACTATTTAATTAAATTTATAAATAAACAACCAAACAATTTTTATTTGCTATATCCTATAATGAAGGCAGCAGTATATTATAGCTTTTAGACAATTGTCTATTAAAGTAGCTAGAATTCTTACAGAGAGGAAGGCTGTGTGAGAATGAAGGCAGAGATTAAACTGATGCATCACAAGCTAGGAAATTCTAAAATTGCTGGCAGCCATAATAGTCCAGGGGAGATCAACACATTCCACGAGATTTTTTACTTGACAAAGAATGATCAAATCTTTTTTTTAAAGTAAACATTGTTTCAGAGGTGGAACGCCGTTCATGTATTTTTATTGATCTCAGAGAGGAAGTGAGAGGGAGAGAGAGATGGAAACACCAACTCTTACATGTAGATCTTTCCTCACATGTGATATAATATGCTGACCATATATGTTAGGCTTGGATAAAAGCTTCAAACTACCTGTGTTCAATACCTCAAGACATAGAAAAAGAATATCATATCTACTCTGTATATATTTCACTGACAAAGTAAGAGTTGGGGATAGCTGTCCAGAGGGACATTAGTAAAAGTCTATTGAGAATTAAAAAAAAAAAAAAGATGAATCAAAGCAATTGAAGAATGAAAATTCACTGGAAAAGCAGATTATTTACTCTGCTCAGGTTCAAAAGGGGAGTAACCATACTTTCTCTTTTTCTTCCTTTTTTTTTTTTTTTATCTTCAGCTGGAAAGACAGCTAATGATGCAGAACGAAATGAGAGAAAGACAAATGGCCATGCAAGTTGCTTGGTCTCGGGAATTCCTCAAATATTTTGGAACATTTTTTGGCATTGCAGCCATCTCTTTAACAGCTGGGTATGTTTGTTATTTACTTTAAAATTTTCTGAAATAATTTATTTATTTTGTCTTTGCCATTATCATATTATTATTCAGTTGGCCAAGACAGGACTTTGGTCCAAATACTGTGCATGTAAACAAAGTAATCCATTATAGCTTAATCCTTGGAGGTAATTCTGTAGAAACAGGGTAGCAATAGTTAATTCTGCCTTTAGTTTATTAGATTGCCTCTGTTCTTTTGTCCATTTTACAAGTTAGAGAACTAACTTGGCACTGAGACAGGAGGCTTCTACAAGTTTATCTCCACAAGCCTTAAATGGTAGATATCAACACTTCACTATTGATAAAATGAGTAATCTGAGCCTCAACATCAAATACCAATGAGTAATTCATAGACCCTGCCTGTCCTGGAGAACTATAGAATCTGGTGAGGGGTTATGGGTAAGGAAATCCTATTTTCAAAGAAGATGCAAATGAATTAAGTAACTTTTGAAATAAAGGACATTCTTTCAAAAAGCAGGTAAATTTTTTTTTCATCGAGTATAAAGATATGTATTTACGATCATTTCTTGATATTTATTTTTCTTTGTTCTTGAACCAGAGCAATAAAAAGGAAGAAGCCAGCCTTCCTCTTCCCTATCATTCCATTAGGCTTTGTCCTCACCTACCAGTATGACTTGGGCTATGGAACCCTTCTACAAAGAATGAAAGGTAAGCGTTTGATAAACCAGACTCTATTTCTGATTCATTACCTGGTTAAAGGATCCCTTTCTTATGATTCCTTGACTTAGGAAGATTCTGACAAGACCCTCTCCCTGGTTTTTAAATATAATAATTATTAAAAATTAGATTATATAAACTTACAATGAAATAAATTACAAAAAATAAGCATTAAATTATATTAAAAACAATGGTAAAAAGTACTCAACTGATCAGCTAATTACTATACTGTAATCTACACATTTAGATTATATATGTCTATACTCTTAAGTTATGAATATCTATTGTATCTGTATGGTAGAAATGCAGATACAATATACAAATACAATAAAATACAGATACAACTCTGACTTTAGTGACATCCCATTGGTACCCTGAAGTTGATTGTGGTGGAAGGATTTACACCATGGAAATCTGCAAATGTTAAATCAAGACTTGACTTATTTTGTTGTTGTTGTTGTTGTTGTTTATTGTTTAGACCAGAAGTTGGTATACTATGGCCTGTGGGCTAGCCACCTGTTTTTGAAAATAAAGTTTTATTGGAACATCGACATGCCATTCATTTCTGAGTTGGCTTTGACTGCTTTTCATTACCATGACAGAGATGCCTCTTTGTAACAGAAACAAAAGGCCTCACAAGCCTAAAATATTTACTGTCTGGACTTTTAAGAAAGTTTACCAACCCATGGTCTAGACTTAAGATAATGATGAAGGCTATGTTAATAATGCAGATTATGGCCCCAACGGGTTTGGCTCAGTGGATGGAGCGTTGGCCTGCGGACTCAAGGGTCCCGGGTTCGATTCCGGTCAGGGGCATGTACCTTGGTTGCAGGCACGTGCCCAGTGGGGAGTGTGCAGGAGGCAGCTGATCGATGTCTCTCTCTCGTCAATGTTTCTGGCTCTCTATCCCTCTCCCTTCCTCTCTGTGGAAGATCAATAAAATATATATATATATTTTTTTTTTAATTAAATCTTTATTGTTCAGATTATTACATTGGTTCCTCTTTTTTCCCACCATAACTCCCCTCCACCCAGTTCCCACCCCTCCCTCCGCCCTCACTCCCCACCCACTGTCCTCATCCATAGGTGCACGATTATTGTCCAATCTCTTCCCGCATCCCCCACATCCCTTTTCCCCCCAAGAATAGTCAGTCCATTCCCTTTCTATGTCACTGATTCTATTATAATCACCAGTTCATACTGTTCATCAGATTATTTATTCACTTGATTTTTAGATTCACTTGTTGATAGATGTGTATTTGTTGTTCATAATCTGTATCTTTACCTTTTTCTTCTTCTTCCTCTTCTTAAAGGATACCTTTCAGCATTTCATATAATACTGGTTTGGTGGTGATGAACTCCTTTAGCTTTTCCTTATCTGTGAAGCTCTTTATCTGACCTTCACTTCTGAATGATAGCTTTGCTGGATAAAGTAATCTTGGTTGTAGGTTCTTGGTATTCATCACTTTGAACATTTCTTGCCACTCCCTTCTGGCCTGCAAAGTTTCTGTTGAAAAATCAGCTGACAGTCGTATGGGTACTCCCTTGTAGGTAACTTTCTTTCTCTTGCTGCTTTTAGGATACTCTCTTTGTCTTTTGCTCTTGGTATTTTAATTATGATGTGTCTTGGTGTGGTCCTCTTTGGATTCCTTTTGTTTGGGGTTCTCTGCACTTCCTGGACTTGGAAGTCTATTTCTTTCACCAGGTAGGGGAAGTTTTCTGTCATTATTTCTTCAAATAGGTTTTCAATATCTTGCTCTCTCTCTTCTTCTGGCACCCCTATAATTTGGATGTTGGTACGCTTGAAGCTGTCCCAGAGGCTCCTTACACTATCTTCGTATTTTTGGATTCTTTTTTCATTTTGCTTTTCCAGTTGGGTGTTTTTTGCTTCTTCATATTTCAAATCTTTGACTTGATTCTTGCGATCCTCTGGTCTGCTGTTGGGAGTCTGCATAATATTCTTTATTTCAGTCAGTGTATGCTTAATTTCTAGTTGGTTCTTTATCACAACATCGAGGGTCTCACTAGATTTCTTGAGGATCTCACTATATTTATCGGCGGCTTCTAGACAGTTCTTTAAAGACCTTAAAAGTGTGGTTCTGAATTCTATATCCAGCAGTTTGCTTTCCTCCATTTCTTTCGTTTGTGTCCTGTTTCTTTGTCTTGGCATTTTTTATGCTTCCCTGTGTTGAAAAAGTGGTTTTCTGTGCTGAGTGTCCTCTAGGGCCCAGTGGTTCAGCCTCCCCAATTACCTGAGGAGGACACTCTTGGTGCACCCCCTTGTGGTCTTTGTGCACAGTCTTGTTGTAGTTAAGCCTTGACTGTTGTAGTTATCACTGGGAGGAATTGACCTCCAGGCCTATTGGCTGTGAGAATCAGCTGTGTCTGCAGTGGGAGAACTTCTGTGCTGGAGACACCCCTCTGGGGCAAGACTTGCTTCAATGGGGCTTTGGTGCTCACTGAGTCTGCCCCCTGAGTGTGTCCTTTATGTTTCCAGGGAGTTGCAAACTGGATGGTCCCACTCTGACCTCTGGGCTTCCTGGCTCCTGGATCTCTAGGGAGGTACTAATCTAGCCTTTGCCTGAGGCTATCCAGCAAAAGACTCCCTGCAGGACTTGGGCGGGGCGGGTCCCACGGGATCAACACGGCGGGGCTAGCAGTTATGGCTGCTCTCAGACTTGCCATCAGAGGCTCTGCTTTTCAGTGTCCTGGTAATTGCTGCAAGCCCCTCGGAGAGAAAGCTGCCCTCGGGTTCCGACCGATGCCAGATAGTCCCGCTTCTCCCGTATGAGTCTGGGTCCCTAGAGACTCGCCCGGAACTGGAGCTCAGAGCCTGAGACTCCCTCCCGATTGAAAACGACAACTGCGCCCTCAGCCACCAGCCCACTCCACATGCACCTCCGCACCTCAGTATTTTACTTTCGCACTGCGCCTCCTCTGAGCCTCGGTATGCTTTTCTCTTTCCTTCTAGTTGTAGAATTTCCCCTCAGCCAGCCTTCCTGTGGTTCTGGATGATGTCCGTTCTTTTAGTTGTATTTTTGAAGTGGTTGTTCGAGGCAGCAAACTCCGGTGTTTACCTATGCTGCCATCTTGGTTTCTCCCTCAATAAAATATATTTTTAAAAAATGAAGATTATGTTTAAAAGTGTGTTGTGTCCCTAGCCATTACATTGTGAATGGCTTAAAAAATGAGGAAATATTCTCCCAATATTTAAAAAACCATTATCTGATTCAGCAAAGTTGTTCAAATCATTCTCAAATGAGTAAAGTTCCAACATATGTCATTGTTTCACTTTTGTCATACTTATCAATGTAAAAGAAAACATCAACCTCATTCATAGTGGAATTATACTCATTCACCAACTGCTACTATAGGTTAGCTGTGACTACAAGGGTTCAGCAAAAATCAATGAAAACATTCTGTAAGAACCAATTTGCTACATGGAATTTATGATACAATGTATTGTACGTTTTATTATTTATAACTTGTGTGCTACATATATATTTCTATAAGTAAATCTATAATAAACATATGTACTTAATAAACTTTACATTTTAACACCCCCCCCCCCCCGGGAGGGAGCTGGTTGTTAAATATTCACCAGACTGTGCTGCTCTCCTCTCAGAACCTTGGCTCTCACTGCCCTAGCAAATAGCATTGCACTCAGAAGACATTCCTGCCCTAGGAAGATAGTTTCTCATTAGTCTAGGACAGTGGTCAGCAAACCGGCTCGCGAGCCACATGCAGCTCTGTGGCCCCTTGAGTGTGGCTCTTCCACAAAATACCACGTGCGGGTGCGCATGTACAGTGCAATTGAACTTCGTGGCCCATGCGCAGAAGTCGGTATTTTGTGGAAGAGCCACACTCAAGGGGCCAAAGAGCCGCATGTGGCTCGCGAGCCGCAGTTTGCCGACCACTGGTCTAGGATATTCCTGCTTCCAAATTCCTACCACTTCTCTGGGAAATACACTCATACGAGTATCCCCGTGTCCCCACTTTTCGAGCCTTTAACCCATAGAACATTGGAAACAGTATTTTCCCAAGCCTTCATTTTTCCATCCTGCTCTTTCCTGGGCTATGGGCCCATCCTTGAAGCTTTGTGGGAACTGCTTTGATATGGTAAAGGAGGAGGTAATTATGTTCTGAAAAAAAAAATTTGAAAATGAAAATATATTTCCTCATAGATACTATGTAAAAGTGTTCTTTGTGGTCAGGTGTTATTGATATCACAGTTCAGCTATATTGTAAGCTAAAGAGTTCTTTGCTGATGGCCTAGAAATTGATTTATAGCATTATTACCATGGGAAAATGTATTCTGAGTACTAAAACGCTGACCTACAAATTAATTTTTTTGGTACAATCCCATTTGAAGCTGGAAATTAACCAGCTCAGTTTCACATCACTCATCTACTTAAGGATTCATTAGTCCGAGCCCAACTATGTCTCACTGTTTTATAATGGACATTAGAAGTCACAGAGCAAGTTTACTTTCTGGAAACAATTTGATTGTATATTTTTAAAGTAATTTTATTACAGGTCCATCAGAGTCTACAAAATTCAGAATTTTATACTTTCAGGGCATGTTGTGGAAATTTCTTGTAAAAAGAAATACATCTTTAGAATATACCAGGAAACTTACCATATTAGAAACTTTAGGTTATCACATTTAGCATTGTTAACTAATGATGACCCCAAGATATAAAATCCCTGTTTGACTGACTTTATCAGTCATTCTGTAAACACATATTGAGATTTGCTACATGCCAGCAAGACATTCTCACATGGAAATATCTAGTCTGTCATCAGTGGCCGGCCTAATTATATACAAGTTATAATGATCTTTACTTACTATTTGAGACTGAGAAAAGAAGTGTTGGGAGATGGTTGAAGTACTCTTATAATTTGAAAATTTTAGTCTGTTAGGTTTGGAGTATAAATTAATTGTGTGCTAAAAGACAAGAACTTAAAGGAAACATTTGCCTTCATTTCCAAAGTTTATAAAATGTCAATGTGTATTATGACACAATTTTAAAATTAATTTTTCTAATTAGTCTTCAACATTAAAAGTTGGCAAATGTTAATGGGTCCAACAAATTACTAGCTGTTATCTGAAAGAGGAACTGTTTATAGAAATGTGTAGATGTGTGTGTATGTAGGTATACAGACTAAAGAATATTTAATATTATTTGGGGTATTTACAAGTAGTTTCAGGTCAAAGATTAGCTTTCCTAAAAATTTAGAATTTTCAGTAAATTTTATTTTCTCACATGTCACTCATAATATATTAAAAGGCAAAAGGAAGGGGACTACCTCAAACCCCTCCAAACACAACTAATCTTTAGCACCCTGACTTTTCTTCAAGGAAAAAAACAACATTACTTGGTATGCTTTCTCTTCTACATGTTAAAATGTTGTCTTCTGTCAAATAAAATGGCATCTGATTTTTCTGTGAGTCTTCAGGATTCATCACTATATTTCCTTTGGGAAATGACTTCTCCTGAGGACAGCGGGTGAAATATTTAACTGTAGGATTTGAGGAACACAGCAAGTAGGTCTTCTCACAAACTGCTGATACTCCTTTGTCACCTTGTATATGTCTGTACTTTATTTAAGGTGAAGCTGAGAACATATTGGAAAAAGAAAAAAATAAGTTACAGCTGCCAAAAGGAATGATTACTTTTGAAAGCCTTGAAAAAGCCAGAAGGGAACAAAGTAAATTCTTCATAGACAAATGATATCATGTTTACCCACTGAAACTCAAAACACAAAATTGTTGACTTGAATAATGGTTTTCACAATTGTTTAAGTGTTCAAGATTTTGATATACTGGATTTTATTTTAAAATATTAAAATGTAAGATCAGGTTTGTTAAACTATTTTGAAATAAAATTTATAACATTCAACAAAAAAAGGAGGTACTCTAAGTAACTTTTAGATTTCCCATATATGTATATTATAAATATGTAAATATAAAGTTAATAAACTATATTGTTTTGAACTCCTGAAAGCAAATGTCCTACAGCTCTCATTTTTCTGTCTCACACACCTTCCCCATCACATTCATCTTTAATTTGGATTTGTCAGTTGTGTCCTGTCTCCACCTGACAGAAACAATTCATATTAATGACTAATATGTATATTGTGCTTCCTATGGCCAGTCACTCTTCTGAGTGGTTTGCATAGATCTAGGACAGGAAGGACTGCTGCTTGGCAGAGATTACATTTGAGCTGAGAACTGAATGATGAATGAGCCAGTTGTGTAAAAAGCAGGTATGGGGGCAGGGAAGGGATTTCTAGGCAAAGGGAAGAGCCAGAGGAAAGGCTCTGAGACTTGTCAAAGAATGGAAAGAAGGCCAGGAAAAATAGTAGGAGATGAAATCTGAAGGAGAGAAACAAGAACAAATACATGGCTAATGCAGCTGATGATACATTAATATATGGCTTTGATACAATTATAGTTGAAGAGAACCTTGGGGCCAGGTCTTGAAGGATGCATTGAGTTCTCCATGAAGACAAGGGGGTGAAGAGGAAGTGCATCTTTGGCAGAAAAAGAAGAATGACTAAAGGCAGTGCCATGCATGTCAAGTCCAGGGATTTGCTGCTGGTTATTGGGTTTGCCTGGGGCAAGAGGTTCCTTACGTGGGAGATTTGTTAAGAAATAAGCCTGGAGGCACAGCTCAACTCCTTGGGTGTAACACCAAGGAGGTTGTGCTCTATCCCACTGGTACTAAAATTACAACTCAATCAAGTTTATATGGTATTCCACCTAATTCAGTTTGTGTTTGGGGATAATTCTGAAGGGTCCTTATGGTATAGTACTTAATTGCACTTTGTAAAAGATTTTAGCAGTGCCCCAGATCCACTCAAAACAGTTTTGGCAACAAATACTGAAACTATATTGTCAAGATGTTAAAGACGGAAGGAAGACCCTTAGAAATTATCTAGTCTAAATCCCATTTTACAGCTGAGAAAATGGAGGTTCATAGTGATTTACCTAAAGTTCCACATCTGGTAATGGTAGTTGGTACTAAAACCCTGGTGTCTGATATCCCTAGAAGGATTCTTTCCAATGCAACATGCTGCCTGACTTCAAAGGAAAGTGACAAAGTAAAAATCAAAAATAATTTTTAAAAATTATCACATATGCTCAATTTCAGAGCCTTAGAAAATGTCCCAAAGATGGGGTTAGAACAGGATAGGGAAGTAGCAGAGTCAGACTGCAAAAATAATCTACAACCAATGTAATTGGAATATGAGTAATCTGAAGTTGATACTATATTTTATAGGCTTCAACAATTTTAATATCTGCATGTTCAAATGTGGTATTTTAGAGACACTAGTCAGAATTTAGAAAGTTTTTCTGCTCCACGCTTATGGGAAAAGAACAAACCCTTGCTGGGAAAATATTATTAAATAAGCCTTATTACTCATGTGTTGCGGTGTCTCTTGGCCTTGGATGTGTCTGTTCTGTGAGAGGGTTGGAAATGCTCTCCTAGGTTTGGCCTTGTGGATGCCTACAGGAGATTTCAGAAATATCTTGCAAACTGCAAAATGTCTAATTTGAAGAAAGTAGTTTCTAATATTCAGGGCTGAATATTTAGCATCTCTACTGATTTTTCTACTGGTAACTTTGGGTCTTGGAGTTTATGAAGATTGAAGCAGTACTTGGGCTGCAGGTGTACCAGGAAGCCCAGGCTGGCTGGAAGCAGAGCGTAGGGGGTGACAGAAAATAAGAGAGCCAAGGAAGAGTAGTCTTCATGAAGGGATGGAGCTGACTCAAATGCCTCTCACAGTAAATGGCTGCCAGGGTTCCATTACTGGCTTGCTTGGGGGAGCTGAGCTCCCTAGAGACCAAAGTCACCTATGGGATCCCCTCACAGGCCTGTTTATTTTGCTGTAATAACTTGTTCCTTTGGCTACTTGGATGGCAATAAGAAGTGTGTCTGGAACAACACAAACTTATCATGACTGCTGATAAAAGCAACTGGAACCCTATATCCCACTGATACTTAGTGGTCACTGAGTCTGAGGTTTAGATAGTATTTCTGGTTCATTATTTCTCAATCCACAGGTGTCATGGGGTTAAAAGATAGATTGCTAACCTCAGTTTATTTATTCTTTTTCTTGGAGGACTTCATCTGTGGCCAGCAGCACTGTGTAGATGTTTTCTGCTCTGCCTGGACATGAAAGACAGGCAACCCCTGAGCCCGAGTTGGTTTGGGCATTTCATTTGGTGTTAGAAGAACAGAGTTCAGAATATGTCTCATGAAGTCACATCCTAGAGAGGACTGACTGGCAATCTGGGATTCTAGTTTGGTGGGGATTTCAAAAAACTGTAAGGAAACAGCTGTTGAAGGTATGTGAAAGTCAATGGATTTTGATAAATTGAAATGAAATAAGGAAGGTTTGTGAAAAGTTATCAGGGTTTCAGGATTAGGCTTTGAGGAACACTTATAACTATTTTTCCCAACATTCCCACACCATTAATTTTCTGCTGATGAAGATCTGACACAAGTAGAAGGTAGTATCAACTGTATCTACCAAGGTGATCTTGAGAGAGAGAGAGAGATTACATTCCATAGAAATTCAATATGGATTCTGGATACTCGACAGTTTCATATCTTGAAATGCTCCAGAGAAGACTTGGCATCCAGAATGCTTTTCATCTTCAAGGAACTAAGAAATTTGAAAGGAGTCCAACTAATGCTATGTATTTCAAACTAGCAATAACAAAAACTCCTATGGTTTGAATAGTTTGTGCCTCTAGATCAGGGATGGGGAACATCCAGCCTGCAGGCTATATAAGGTCCCTTAAATCATTTGTCTGGCCCTACCAAGGCATTAGGGGTGAGTTAATTAAATGTTTGACTAAATATAACAGCCTAATTTTTAAGTTGATAATTTTGTATGGCCTGAGAATGATGGTATAAATACCTAAATGGCCCTTGGCAGAAAAAACGGTTCCCCACCCCTGCTCTACATAGTTACTTCTTTGAATTCAATAGCTATGAGAAACACAGGATGCTAGACTTACCTTCCATGCAGTTTTCTTGTATGGACTGAAAGCAAAGGACAAGCCTACCACCTCTGAAATAGCCTGAAAGCCTTACTAGGCAGGTGAAGGGGATTTTGTTCATCTACTGACTTTCATAATTGCTTTTCAGAAATTCAAGCAGACATCAATTTCCTACTAGAATAGGTGTGTTATAGGAAAAGTTCAAATAGGCTCATGGTTAAGATATTCTGTTCTTCCTCCCATTTCTTTTTCCCCAGAGATAGTCACGTTTATCTCTTTTAGATAATCCTATCTCAATATAGGATTTCCCTGAAGCAGATTTGGCACCAATCACTTGAGCAAGTCATTGATTTTGGAGGTGATCCCAAAAACATTGATGGGGAATTAAGGAAGTAGAGAAGGAAACTAGTAAATGAAGTCTAACCCAGAAAGTGACCTTTGCAGACCACTGTAGCTTAATCCTGATGAAGAACTCTGGGAAATGGTTTAAAACATCCCCTACCCCCCACCTGAGTTATCCAATCCAAGGAGTGAAATTTCCCCAGCTTAGAATGTACAGGCAAAATGGGCTCTGGAAACCAGAATAAACCTCAAGCAAGAAACCAGGTGTTAGACACTGGAAGTCAGATCAGCTCAAACTGAAATGGTAAGGGCTAATAAGTAGTTGAAAGCAACTCATATTTTAGTTACTGATAGGGTTACTTTAACTTTACATCTCTAAGTAACATTCCAGTGTAGCTACTTCTTAATGTTTCAAAAAAATATTATTTCTTGACATACCATGAAGATAATAAAGAATTAGCTATCTTAACTCCCCCAACCCCAACAACCACCACCACATGCATCTATTTCCCTATCCTTTCAATATTGTTATGCAATCATTTTGGTTGGATCAATATTCATTGTTTACATTATAATGATGCAAACACTGTTCACAACTGTGTCATATAGTAAAGTATAATTACTTCCCTTTCTTGCTCACTTCCTGATTTCTCTGGAATTAGTAGTCTTTTTGTTGTTTTATGTGCTTAATGTTCTTTATAACTTCATTAACCTCAAATTCTTTGTTGGTTTTTAAATCTCCTCCAAAGACATCCATTCACATCAGGTATTTTGTCAATACCTTCTTGAAAAAAAATTGGAGGCTTCTGACCTGTTCTCACCTGTACTGTTTTTTGGGTTTTTTTACATCTGAAAGACAGCTCTCTCCTCCTGAGTTTTCCCTTCACCACTGTGGTGGAGGGGGAGGGTCCTTTTTTCTTATACCTGCGTTGGATCTTTTGTTTCCTATATTCTGTGTTGTGCTCCCTCATTTGCTGGAACTCATCCCTCCTTAGCTTTGTGACAAAGAGTGAATGGAGGAAAAAAATGTTGAGACCTTATATATCTAAAAATAACTTCCTCTTCTTCACTTGATTGATAAATTGGCTGGGTACAGAATTCCTGGTTGTTAATGACTTTCCATCAGGATTTCTAAGGCATTTCTCCACCGGCTTGGGTGTCAACACTCTGTGCTGGAAAGCCCTCCTACACCGATCCTCCTCCTCACCCTGCTTGAGCTTCAACCACGCATGCTGGCCGCCCATCACATAGATATATTCCTCATCCAATTCAAATCCTAACAGCACTAGCCTGCACCACCATGCAAAAGCTTTTCTTAACCAGTTCAGGCTCACACACCTCTCACTGGGTCACCTTCCCTTCCTCCCTGCTCCCAGTGTGGATGCCTTCCTCACTCTTCTCAGATTACAACATCCCCATAGGAACCACCAGAGCATTCCCCTACATCTGCCAGCATGGATACATCCTTTGTTCTGCCCAAGTGAATGGATTTAGCAAGAAATTATTCAGTATAGAAGGGAAAAGAAAAAGTGAAAGAACTGAATTTTAATATTTGTCATCTAATACAAATATTTAGAATTTTTTAAATAAAATTATTTTTGTTTAATTTTGTGTGTTCAAGTAACCCTTATTTTGTGTGTGTGTTTTTAAAATT